GTTTTCTTTCCCCAGTTTTCTTCTTCTTCTTCTTTTTTTTTTTTTTTTTTTTTTTTTTTTTTTTTTTTTTTTTGCACCGAGTGGAAATCTTTTGAGAGCATGGGGAGCACCAAAGTGTACATTGCTGCCAGCTGTTGTCAACGTCATCAGTACCACTTGGATGGATGTCAGGTTTGCTGTCGACAGGACGATATGCGAGAGTCGTGCATGGTGGTCATCGATGCTGTGAATTGGTAGGATGCAGGGATCGACTCTATTTCGATTGGATTAGATCGATTTAGACTCGAGCCTATTGTCCACACAGAAAACCGCTGTTCTTAAATTGACTTGTGCCAACCTACTTATGGAGAGGTAAACTGGTTTGTTTGTTTGTTTGTTTGTTTGTTTGTTTTTCGGCCAAAGGATCCCTGATCAGCATTGATTACTCCCTGTTGCAGGAAGATTGACTGTCAGCTTGACGCGGTCCCCTAAGCGCAGCCTATCTATACAAGCATGACTGATGTAGTTGCGCATGGAGCCGATGTCTGCCAGGGCCCCTGATTTACGACCTCCTACATCTGCCTCTACTACAATCGACTCACCCCTTTTGGACCTTTCTGCCATAGTCACCCAAAAAGCCATTAGATCATTCTGAGACCATGATTCCAATTCTAGCTCCTCTTAAACACTTACTCGGTCACATCGCATGAACAGAGCATCGGCTGGACTGTATGTGACTGCGGAGTGACACTAGTATCAGTAGCCAATACCATCATGCTGCTCTGAGAGGTCGAAGGAGTATCGAACCCGGCCGAGAAATCTCAGACACTGTTCAAGTGACTACCACTTCTACTGGCTCATCTGGTTTCCCTATTGGGAATTGGGCTTGGTCCCATTGGGACATCTAGCCTTGATGTGGCCTAACTCTTCAAACTGCATGCACTCCCCCCTGGAATGCCTCTCCTACCAGATGCTCTTTTCAAGTTTCTCCTTGACCCATGGTGGATCCCGGAGAATCTTGTCCTTTCCTTGACCCTTGGCTGGCCCCCTCAATGTGCCAGCCTCCCTAGCCTTTGAGATGGCTGCGACTCCTCCCTCCCGCGCAGCAACCTTGTTGTCTCCCTACTCTTTCTAATCGTCCGGGATTGAAATATCGTCTACGTCCTCCTGATTCCCCTGTGAATCTACAAAGAGGAGGTGCCCCTTCCTCCTCTATTTTTTTTTTTTTTTTTTTTTTTGGGCAAGCCAATTGGGAGAAAACTTAGAAAAGCAGCCCAGTGCTCAGGGTGCCAAACAAGGTTCCCAATTTCTTCCTCATCTTCCTCATCCTCAAAATCATTGTCATAATACTCATCGTCATCTTCTTCATCCTCCCCACCGGAGCTCTGTTGAGTGAAAGCTCCCATTGCAGTACTGTCTGTTCCTGGGACAACGTCATGATCCTGAGTTTCCCTACCTCCGGCACCCACGTTGGTGAGCCGGCTCCACACAGACCCACGTGTGCCAGACGGGTCCATTTCGATTGTTGTCCTGGAGTGATTGGAAGTCTTCTGTCCAGTGGCACTCCTTTCCTGAGAAGATGCTGCTTGATTGGACGCCTGATGAGGTTCTGAATCAGCGCGGCTACGGAACTTGAACTCGGTACTAACCGTTGTACTATGTAGTACCTGCCCCCCCAAAGCACTCTCACTGCAGCTCTGCTTTCCACACTCAGTCTGTTCATTCCTCTGCTTTACCCCCTCAACATGCACACCGTCATCGGCATTATTTGGCCTCTCATTCCCCTGTCCGTTCGATGTCCTCCCATCGTCTATTCCTGGCGAAGATCTGTAATCCCCAGTTACCAACGAGCTTTTTGATGGTCTTCTCGCATTGAGCATAGTCAGCATGCCGATTCGGAGGGAGTCAGAAGTGTCGTACCCTTGCGCCAGAGCCTTGTAAAATGCTGACATGAGTGCGAAAGTTGTTGTGTCTTCGACTTTCCAAAGGGATGAAATTAGACAAGGCACCTGGGAAATCAAGAAGGCCCTAGTAAGGCTCAAAACCCCCTCTGGCCTCCAATTCCCCCTAGCAGACTCACAGCAGCTTAAGACTACCATCAGCGATTTGATGTCGTTGTCGAACAACTTCATGATCTCCTCCCCCCGCAGCACATCATAATAGAGATCTTCCGATTCCAATTTCTCTCTCTCTTTGCTGATCAATGTGGTGCCTTCAGCAGGTGAACCACCATCCTCCTCAGACTCTTGTCCCTACCGTTGGGCGCACTCTTCAAGTTGCTTGCACAACATCAATATCTCCTCCGTCTCTGGAATCTTGTTTCCACGTAATTTATCCTGGCAGACGTTGAAGGCCTCGGAGTCCTCAGAAGGCGGGTCATCAATTGATTCAAGTCCAAACAACTGCCTCGCTGACGATGGAGAACTGAATTGGCATGAGTCAGGAGAGTAGCCCTGCTCGAAGTTTGAAGTGGACGTGGAACCGCCGGGTGTGCTCATGGCTTCGAAGGTCACGACTGCAACATCATCATGTTGAGATACCTCCTCGACCTCTCTTTCTGTTGCCTCGCACGAGCTGCTGGGTTCGTGCAGTATCTTGTGTGAGCTGCGAACTGTTTTTTTTTTTTTTTTTTTTTTTTTTTTTGGGATCGTCAGAACCATCTGGTTCTGGCTCCTACCATTCTGGGGAGCGACAGTCCGGTTCCTGTTCCCCCGGCAAGTCAATATGTAATACATTTGGATACTCGCTCACGCTCGTCCCCATTAAGGCTGAGAGGCCCGAGCGGGCGGCATTGATTGCTTCCCTGCGGAAGGATATACCCCCCCTCACCCCTGCTTAAGTTAGCCTGCTTTTGCTATTGGCTCTTACTAATCTAGTTGGCCTCAGTTCTGCTCCTCTCAGCTATACTGCTGTCAGTTCGGCGTGCTGTGCTGGAGAGAATTGAGAAGTTTTGTGAGGATTGAGCCCTCAAGTCGGGGCCTTGCCATGATGTTCATGTTCTGGGCTAAGGACCCAGCAAGCCTAGTGCCCGCCCTAAGTGAAGGCGGGCCAGCAAATCAACAAGAGCCCTCTCAGCCAACATTTCACGAAGTGGGGTCTATACAGTTGCAGCACGCCAGTTGGTTGGGGTGCACCGAGTCTCGGATTTCAGCAAATGCTGAAATGCCCAGGGCCTCTGAGTTAGTTAGGCCCTGGGCACTCAAACGTGAGGCCGACAATGCATGCTGGGTAGAGAGGCCGAAATGCCAAAGGGAAAATCGGCCCACTATCTGAACCTGGCCGCAGGCCTTGAGAAGAGAGGCGCAACTGCATTGCTCCGGGGCCCAACTGTATCGGGTAGGCTTCAGCCTCTGGGTCCCGGTCGCAGGCTGAAGGRAGGCCGCCCACATGCTGCATTGGCATATATGCAAGCAGGGCGAGGCAGCAGGGATCTTGGCCAATGCTGGCACATGCGGGCACGCTGCGCGGATGCATGTGTGCTGCACTGTGCAAGGCAGTGCTGCGCTAAGAGCAAGCAGGCCAGCGCTAGGCGGTAGGGTGCTGCCTGCACTGAGGGCACTGGCGGCCATAGCCTGGGCCGCATGAGGGTGCAGGGGAGGTGAGGRCGAAGGTGGTACTTCGGASGTGAAGGGCGCTGTGTGGGTAACAAGGGAGAGTGTGGGGAAGAGGACACGTACCTGGTGATGGTGGAGGTCGGCATTGGTGTTGACATCATCACTCGCTGGTAGTCAGGTTGTCTGGTTGCTTTTCATTGCTGTAGTTGTAGGATAGCTGTAGAGTAGATAGGGCGCCTGGCGCCATTCACAAGAGAGAGTTACATTTGGGTTATGCTGTTGGTGTTGCCCTGTTGGGCATGGACATTGACTCACGATTCTTCTGTATCATTCTTAATTGGATTGTTACTCGGTTCCATGTGCTATCTGCTTTGGCTTTGACTACTTGGACTTCAGTGTGATTTTGCATTCTGGATTTCTGTGCTTCGTCCATACTCATGTTCCTTGCAGTTTGCAGGCTTCTTAATGAAGGTGTTTTTGTCACTCGTCCCCTGTCCAAGCTTGGTTGGTCTTTGGGCCTCTCTTTTTCCTCTCAGGAATACTAAAGGAGCCCGTCAGATACAACATGAAGCCATGCTTTTGCGCTGCACAGCACCAAATCACCAATGCGCTGCAGCCAGCGGAGCAGCTTGAACGGGCTCTGATACCAAATTACAAGGAAAATGAGCCATGATGAAATGACAGAATTACGAATTGCAAAATCACACTGAATGCCATATAGTCGTAAGCTGTCCAGAACGCAGAAATGCATCGATATCACACCGAAGGAGAACCAAAGCACCGGACTCAATTGTCAATGAGAGCACTCTCTCACCACCACCAACAGTGTATCCAGAGCCCTTCCTCCTACTTGGCGCTCAGGGCCCAGACTACGATCCTAAAGTTACTACGCAATCCTACTCAAAGGAGACACCAATCAGTTGACGTCAGCAGCAGCAACTGAAGTACATGCAGATGTCGCTCATGCAGACCCCCACGATGACCAGGTACATGCTGTCACATCATTCTCCCCTTCGCCCTCTACGTGCCTCTCCTTGTCTTACCTCCCATGTCTCACCACCATCCAAAGACCACCGCCGAACCCCGCCAGCTGCATCTTCCCAAGCCCGGCTATGGAAGCCCGGGCCATGGCGCTGCTCCCTTGCAGCGTCCTACAACACCTCATGCCGCGCGCCTCCCTTGCAGCGTCCTGCAACACCTCATGTCGCGCGCACGTCCAAGCACTAGTGCTAGTGCTAGCGGCCAGAGCGCTCAAAACAGCAGCGCTGCCGCATCACCAGCCAAGTGCCTGAATCCCCTTCCTTGGCCTGGTGCTTTCCTATATGGACCGGGGTGCGCATGAGCCCAGTAGCTTCACGCCAGGCCAAAGTGTCTGCGCCCAGGCCCGTTCAGACAGTGGCCTGGGCCCGCAGCAGTTAGGCGCGCCCAACCACCTTGCGCAAACGTGCTGTGCTCCCTGCTTCCACAGCGTTGCGAGAAGAGCCTAGAAGGCTCACTGAAGATTCTGATGCTCGCGAACAGGGACTATGTAACCAACCGGCGCGCCGTAACTGTCTGGCACCCACCAAAATTTGCTGTATTCAGGCCTTATGAGATTTGGGGGCCCGCCTTCACTTAAAGCAGGCATATGCTTGTAGCAGGGGACCCATCCAGGCATGCTGAGGGGTAAAATGATCTCACCTTCTCCCACAGTCTTACCTCAGTGTCTACCCAGTTAGGAATATCACGCTAAGAAACATGCCAGCATATCTTTTTGTATCCTGCTTTATAATTCATTTCTCCCAACAGCTACAAGCGCCCTAAGAAAAACTGCAGTATATTTTCCATGTTCTGACCTGTTATTCATTTTCATTTCAACATGTGGAAAGTGCCGGAGCTAGCGCGTTCGATTGAGGCGGCCTCAGAAAGAGACAAATATAATGCGTGAGAAAATGAAAGAAAAAAAAAACACGAAACAAAACAAAGACCTACAGCTGGCCTACTGCTGCAATGTACTTGTATTCCAGCATGGGGCTATTCCATGCCTCAGCAGACACCACACGGTCCAACGTCCACCCCCCCCCCCCCACCAAAAAAAAAAAAAAAAAAAACAAGGATGTTTCCCGCCCGGCCACCGCTTCTTCTGGGTCCGGCCGCGGGGTCAGCCGAGGCCTGCTGCTATATCTCTCTCACTCCCACATTTTGACTGTGCCGCAGCAGCTCGTTTGATTGTGGCAGCCTCAGAAAGAGACAAATATAATGTGTCAGAAACGACAAAAAGAATTGAAACAAAACAAAGACCTACAGCTGGCCTACCGCTGCTATCTACTTGTATTCAAACATGGGGCTATTCCATGCCTCAGCAGACACCGTGCTACCCAACGGTTCCACCCCGGCAAAAAAAAAAAAAAAAAAAACAGTCGGCCCCGCCTTGCCACGGTTTCTGCTGGGCCCGGCGGCAGGCGTCAGCCGAGGTCCGCTGCTCGCTTTAGGAGGTATATAGACTATAGATAGATGATAATAGCATTGCTATGCATTATGTACAGGTACATGCAAGTGCCCTGATAAGGCAAATCCCATGTGTACAAGTTGGTACAGAAAACGCTTTAGGAAGCAAGAAAGTCGAGCTTCGTCTTCATCTCAGATGCACAAACATTGGTAAGGAACCGGAGAAAAAAGCCAGGTGATTCCATTTTATATCTTGCAGTAAGTTGTTACGAAATTTCTAAACAATGACCTCTCATTGCCTCATTGGAAAACAACCATACAAAGAAGAAAATACGTTCACGCTGCTGACAACACTGGCACTACGGCCAGACAAATGAGAAAAAGAGAATCCTCAGAAATTTGCAGAAAGAGAGAAAGAAGGCAGTATCATCTATGTGAACAGATGATTCGTCGGGAAAGTCATCAAGAGGAAGAGGAAACCAGGCACGCAAAATAAGAGAGCAAAAAGACCGACCCATCGTGACAGTCAATCAGAAAGAGGAAAGCAAACACCGGTGCACTGAGATAATTTATCTGGTGTGACCATCCCGGCCAATAAATAATCATAAAAGTTCACAAAAAATCAGAGCCAACAAGAGAGAGGAAAACAAAAGGGCACCTCACCTGATCTGTTGTGCATGAAGATAGTCACATGCATTAAAACCTCCAAAAGACACCAGTGTCATCCTTACTTCATGAGAGAAGTCCTTCCTCCGCCTGCACATTTCACCTTCATAATTTCACTTTCAAAATCGCCAACATGAGATCAACATGCACACTTTTGCTGCAGTAATATTCAGAATGGACGGTGCACCTTACACTTTATTTCTGCGGAAGACTGCCTGACAGGATAATATATATATATTTTATATATATATATTTTTCTGGGAAATTTTCCCTCAATTTATGTGTGCCCTCCTTGCGCAGGGGCGCTATCATAGTCTTCTCTGTATCGTTCAAATTTCAACAGATGTCCCAGACGAGACACAGTCAAAACTCTTTTTTAAGTGACAAGTTGGTTAAATTAAAATATTGGCAAATCATTTGAGATCATTTCAAACATATAACCATATTCTTAGAGTTAGTGTGGGAAATCAAGAAGACAATAGCAGTTGCCAAAGGAATCCGAGGAGACATGAGGAGGACAACAACTGCCAAAACAAGGGGAGACATAATCTTTCGCCTATTCTCACTTCCAAAATTCTCTTTGGGGGACGATGAAAAGGGAGGCACAGCTACTGGCAAAATGCTCGGTCTTTGCGTTAGCTGGACACCCAGCGGCGGCCCCACCCCATCTCTGACTACCGCTGTGGATGGGGGGCGCAACATGAATTACCTCAAAACTTCAAAAGTTTGTGAGGCCCTATGCTTGCAAGGGTCCCCTCTATACAGCCTTAGGAGTAAAGGTAGGTAGGAAAGAATATAGTGTAGTAACTGTAGTTAAATAAATACATATTAAATAAATAAATTAAACAGATCCTTATGAGGGCTGGCGGCCTAGCTCAGTTGGTAGGGCCAATACGTGGCATTCAGGAGGTCGTGGGTTCGGTTCCCCATGTCATCCATTCGACTCCTCATGGGCCCCTGCGGTGCTTCTGGTTCCCCACCTGAGATAGTTCGCTTGCCCCCACTGGTTGCTCTTGGTGGGGATGCCCTCCCTCCCATCCAGCACCAGGGGTTAGGTTCAAGCCTGAGGGGGTAGGCTCAGCCCCGAGGGGATGGCTCAACCCTGTGGGGCGAGGGGAGCTGGGAATCCATCAGCAGCGTCCAAAGGAACAGGGAACAGATTTTCTAGGTGCTTAGCTGGTAGCTAGTGTGCGGCTGTTCCAATATCGGGGGAAGAGAATAATGTAGGTATAAAAAGCTGTCTCCTGTATAAGGCACAGACAGCTTTTTAATGGAAAAAAAAGGTCCTTATGGTCCTGGCTCCCAGTCCATTGCGGTGAGTGTCAGTGTGTTCCATCCCACCAGCACATATAAACTCAAATACAAGATATGACCTACACAATGCGTCCTTTCGTCTCAAGTTCATCAGATGAATCCATACAGGAGGATTAACCGTCAGATGGCCTGTCCCTCAAGTTCATCTCAATCTCAGTATTTGACTGTCGTAACGTCTTGCGGAACTAGAACTGAAAAAGTACAGATTCTGCTCCGTGCGTAGGTCCGAGTCATCCTCTCTGAAGCTCTGTGCTCTTAGGTCCTGATTACCGTGATGGAAGTCCCGGGCGAACTGTTTGCCTGATGCCTCATTTCGTGCCAGTTTTTCCATCTCAACATATCGTTGACAATGATCCCCGTCTTGCCCTACACCAACCAGCTCCTATGGAAGGCTCTTTTCTTGGAAAGGATTTCCTCAGGTCTGAGCTTGGCTGAGAGCTTGATTGCACACCATCTGCACCTGATTCCGGTTCCCGCCATTCCAATCAGTTGAGCCCAGGCTTCTATCTGCGCTCCCGCCTTCTTATCAATGTTTTGTGTACATTTGTGTCTCCACATAGTCCATAGTGCCAGCTTTCAGAGCAATTGGAACCAGATCTGTTTGTGCCTTCAGGGAACTGGGGAGGTTGACTGAAAGTGGGATTGAGGTCAGGGTGGTACTGGCAGGTCAAGAGGCGAATAGGGAAGCCCAGAGCTCTTTGACCTTGTTCCCGATCCAAGAGGCTTTACGACAAGTTAGTAGGCAGTGTATTAGATCTTCAACGGTGTTGTTAGTGCACGTCGCACAGCTGCTGGTGCTGTTTGGGTCGGAGTGTTTCCCTTTTTCATGAACCCACTGATAGACGGGGAGAGCTGCATAGGCTATCAACTGTTGCAAATTGCAGGCTTCTGTAAATTTAATAGATAAATACAGTGTCAAGGGGATCTCGTAATCAGCAGTAGAATGTAGGTTGAGAATTCGTTTCAGCCTCTTGTTCATTTCTGGATTCGGGTCACCCATTTTGAGGCCAAGTTCGTACCTGAACTTGACATTGTAAGCCGAGAGGGGTAAGGTCTTCTTGTGTGTTTTCTGAATCCAAGGCCGTCCTCTTCCCAGATTGTTTTGTTTGAACTGTGCACAAATTTGTCGTTCCTTTCGTGAGAATCATGTGTCCTGTTTTTGCAAAAGAGGAATGGGAGAAGAAGAACTGGCAGAGTTTGTAAAGGGAGCCAGGGCAGACGAAATCCTCTCACTCTCTCTCTCTCTCTCTCTCTCTCTCTCTCTCTCTCTCTCTCTCTCTCTCTCTCTCTTCAAATTGAAAGAAAACAGTAAAAATTACGCATCTCATTTCAGGGACATGAGCCCAGTTATGGCAATCTATGATCAACAGGCTAAACTCAGGGACGGCCTGCAATGGAAGCTGTGGGAATTAATTTGTGAAATCCCATATGCCCTGTTGGCGCACAAGGACGAACTTGACAGGATCGCATACAGCATGGCAGCTTTGATGAGGGAGTGGTTAGAACCGGTAATGTTATCTCCTAAATCGATACCAGCCCCAAATCAAGGTCAACCATCACACGCGCCTATGGAAGACCCACGGGATGCTTCCGCTGATGAAAGGGCTAGGCACATATCAAAGAGATTCAAACCCACCACGGAGGCTGACATCCTAAAATAAATTAGACAACAACTGGAACTAACCATCCTGTCATGGAATGTCAATGGGCTGACCACTATCCTGGACAACCCAATCAAATGGAAAAATCTAACTGAAACCATCGACTGGTTTGGGAAAAACCTACCTGACATAACATGCCTACAGCAGACTCATCTCACCAACAGTGAAGAGCACAAGAGGATCCAAACAGCAATCCTGTTATGATCCTGACCAATTTCGAGATACACATTTATCAGATAGTATAATGCCGTCCAATTGCAGAAAGAAATGAATGAACTTGAGTAGAGAGAGAGGGTAAGAAGAAGAAGAAGAAGAAGAAAGAAAGAAGAAGAAGATGATGTACACCAGCATAGACGAATGACACAGCTCTTCTTCTTCACCCAACACTCTCCTCCTCCTTTACTCCTCTCTTATTCATACAAGAAATAATAGTACAATGTTGAATGGCTGATCCAGAATCATGTCCGAGTTCCTCTTCTACTGCAGGTATCACTTGAGGTCCACCATAGCCATGGCCGCCTCCCTCACTCTTCACTCTCATAGGCCGAGGCTATGGCGGACTACTGGGCCTTGCCCTGATGTCCAAAGGACAACCCAAAGCAGCTATGGCTGCTCCAGCTCAGGCCGCCATGCCTGACTCTGCCTCGAAGCTTCTCGGTGTGGCTCTACCCCCGCTGGGGTCTTCCTGCTGCAGCGCCCACCAAGGTGATGAAGATGGCTGCCACCATAGCCAGGTAAGTACCTCTGGCGCTCCCCCTTCCTCCTGTCCTTCTTCCTCCTCCGTGTCCTTGCTCCTTCCCCAGCAGCACTGCTCCAAGCTAGCACTGCTCCAGCCAGGGCTCCAACCAGTGTGTCAGCAAACTTGCACACTGACAATGAGGCTGGGCTCTTTGCCCGGCCTGGAGATATAGCGGACTGCTTGCCTCTTGGGCGGTGACGTCCAAGCCGCTCGGCCTTCCCAGCAACTGGTACCTCCTCCCTTTCGGACGGAATCACCATTGCAGACTCTGCTATTGCCTGTACAGGCCCTAGACTCAGACTGGTTGCACTGGTACCCGCCAAGACCTAGCCTACAACTACTGGGCCTCTCAAAATGCCACTTTTGTCTTCTTCTGCTCAGCCTCCAGTACCCGCACATCTACCTCTTCAGGGTGCGGTACCGGCCTACCTGCTACTTGGGTGTTTTCCCCCGCTGCAATCCCTCAACGTCACGGCCACAGGTAAGTACCGGCCCTGAGGGCCCAACGAACGGACAAGTACCCTTGCGGGTCACACACACACTCAAGCCAACCAGCACTCGGACAGACATGCAGACCAGCAACCATGCACACACACACAGACATGCAGAACTTAGTGGCAAGCGGGAAACTCAGTAAGGAATTCAGTCCGTGAGCAAAACTCAGAAATCAGCTGTGTGTCTCAGTCCGTGTTTGGTCGGGTCATCACAATCCTAAGGAAATTACAACTCGTCAAGCAAGCAGCATGGGCAACAGCAGCACCTGATGGCTCAGCAGGCACAGTCATCCCCTTCCACCAAAAACTGGCTGCTAGTTACAACATTGCGGTGCAATTCTCATGTCACGACGATACAGCAAGCAGATGGGTCAAGATTGACATCAAATTCAAGGACGAAGACATAACCCTCCAAGGCATATATGGTCTGAACGCCCCACACAAAAGAACTCCCTTCCTTCTCTCTTATAGAACAACAAGTGAACCCGCCACGGCAAAGCCGCAGCCCAACGCCAGCCCCACCGCAGGCACGGCCATTATCTGGCCCGGGCGAGATCGAGGGTGTAGCACATGAGGGACGCGCAGCATTCGGGGGGGCATCAGCCAAGGCAGCAGCACACTGTTGGATCCTTTGTAAATCAGAACCATTTTATTGTGGTCGCCGCTGGATTCAACTCACGTGTGCAATTCAACAGTTTCATGTGTGCATCAACTGAGCAGCCTGCCAATGTGCAAAATGAGAAGGAATCTTCCGCAAGAACATAGGAAGATACACCGCGACGGACGAATACATTAAAATGAAATCCCGCCGTGAG